CCTTGGCGTGATTGCTTTCACGTAAGAAACACATTTAAAACAACTCACAAACCGTAATTGCCCTCAAAACTAGAAATCCAGCCGTAATCGAAGTAGTATATTTTATGAGCGAAGTCTCAGCGTGGCAGTTCTTGTGGTTGCAAAAAACGCAAGCTTGTGATAAACTTCGCTTACTTGGAAAATAAACGATTAGAGCAGTCTTAGTCACTTACTGTACGTTGTTTTACGTTTCTTTAATAGGACCGCTCTTTAAGCAATGGAAAAGGCTAAATCACTTGGCTTCTGACATGTTTTTAAATTTTGCTTTTGTTAACACAGGAGCTGAGCCAATGACTCTTGGCTCCCCAACATCTCCAAAACCAGGAGCTAGTGCTCAGTTTCTTCCTGGGTTCTTGATGGGCGATTTACCTGCACCAGTGACTCCGCAACCACGTGCTTTAAGCGGCCCTTCAGTTGGTGTAATGGAAATGAGGTCTCCACTACTTGCAGGTCAGAATTCGTTAAATGTTGAAAAATTATCCCAAAAGAAAGAATTTGTTTTGTCTTATTGCTCTACGTGACTGTTGCAGACTCGAATTCTTGTACTTTTATGAGTTGCTATAAATGAACTGAACTCATTGAATAAACGGTGAACTCAAGTGTATTCAATGGAGTTTGGCTAAATTCTTCAAAGTGGACTTAAGTTTAGAAAACGTTTTAAACATGGCTGCTGTGGTACCAGGAAAGGTTGCTTCTGCAGGGAAGGTAATATGAGTATCTCCTAATATAAAATCAAGTTATACAGCTCTTTACAAGTCAGTTGCACGTACCTCCATCAATGTTTTCTCTTTGATTAAAACAGATGTCTGCTGGCAAACTAAATGCAGCTTGTGCAAGCTGCTGATTTCTTTGCAATGAGTTCTAAAAAGTCACAGATTGTCAGACTTCTAAGAACTGGATGGAGAAAAACTAAAAAATACTTCTTAATTAGTATCTAGTGGTGGTATTTACAGTCTTTGTCTGCTGTAATTGGGCTGGAGTAGTGACTTCTCCTAGCTGTAGATGCTCATCTCTTTCAACCACCTGATTGATCTGACTATAAAAAGTCCTTACCCATGTTTCTAAAATGGTGGTATTATACGTCTGTTTTCTTCTCTGAGAAATATGAGTGAGTAGTTAACAGTCTTACTTATTTCATGTCATGGGTGATCATGGCTTTTTTTAGTAAATCAGTCAGGGTAATCTAAATATCTGATGCTGTTTGTGTGCTAGTCATTTTGAAGTAGAAATTGAAGATTAAAGTACTGCAGGATAATTTTAGATACTTTCTTTCGATTTCAAGAAGAACTGGACTTGATCCTTATGGCTTCCTTCCAACTTGAGGTATTCTGTGATTGTTGCTCTCCTGGTCTCCTGCTTCTTCCTCTTGTCTGTCCACCTCACATACAAGCCTCTTAAGGAAATATTTATGAAATTGAAAATAATCATGTGAATTTCACCTACTTGTTTTTAAAAGGATTTATTACAGTCTCAGAATATCAATTCTACAAAAGGGGGAACTGGTAAGATACTAACACAAGCCTCCCTAAATCAGTGATTAAGTGTATCGCTTAAACTGAGAACCTTGATGGGAGTGTGCTTCGTATAATACACTGTAACAGTTCTTTGATGTGTTAAACAGTTCAGAGAGGAGTCTTGAAGCTCAGAATTTAGGAATGAAAAATACTTCGGAAAAGCTTAATTTCCAAATATTTTGCAAGTGAAAACTGTTAAGTCAAACTACTTTTTTGTTTGTTTGTTTTTGTGGGTTAAACCCACACAAAGTGTTCATAGATATGTCAAGATCTTTCAGTCAGGTTTTTTTGTAATAGTTTCTCTGTTATACTGGAAGTCCCAATGTTTACAAAATGGGAGAGCAGCTGGCTTAACTTCACCCTGTCTAAATGCAAGCTATCCCCTGCTCTCAAGAAATGACATTTTTATTTAATATGAAGTTACGTGGGAAGGAAAGGAGTTTGGACAGTGAGAATGTGACATGTGCAATGTCTGTGTGCATTTTGGTACAGTTCTTTAGCACGTAGAACGTCTCAAGTCTCAAGAACCTTGCGTTTGCATCTCTGCTACACAGAAGTTAGTCTCTGAAACAATTAAAATACACTGCTAACCTGCCTTAAAATAGGAAGACGTGGCTATGCTCAGAACTTCATAAAAAGAACAAGTGCATGTAAGGAGTGAATACACTGGGTTAATAAGAGGTCTAAAAGGTTTAGATGATACTTGTGTAAGGAGACAGTTTCGGACACATATGTGATATTCTTATGTAGAACAGTCAAACCTGAACAGTCTGGTGGGCCAGATTGTTTCACTGGGGGTTTACAAAACTATCATCAGTCTTTCATGGCTAAATTTACTGTTGAAGTTTCAAGAACAAGTAGCAGTAGAGTAAAGGGAAAAGTTTTCTCATGTTCTTCATTTATTCCTTTTAATTGCAGGAGGATCTCCCCCACAACCAGTAGTCCCTACGCATAAAGATAAAAGCGGTGCTCCACCAGTTAGAAGCATATATGATGAATTATCCAGTCCTGGACTTGGATCAACACCTCTAACCTCAAGACGACCAGTAAGTGGCTTAGGTACTGGCCTGTTCTTAGCAGAAGGTGTAAGGTAGCTTACTACTTCAGCAAATTCTTTAACACAGTTGTGTAAACTGCTGTAACAAAATGACTGGTGAGTCTGTTGCTTAGTCTAGGTATTTGGTGTGCCTATTTCTGTGTAGTCTACAAGAGCTGCAGTTGTGGAGCTATCTCCTATTGTTACTGGTTTTTGATACTGTAGAGCATGAAAAATGCAAATCATGCCTCTGCTATGCTTTGTACATGACACATGCAGACTTGTTGCAGCTTTTCACCTTCCCGTTGCATTTATTGGGCTACGGATTGCTAGAGGGTCCAAGTATGCATTATCTTTTCTTTTAGTGAGCAATAGAGGCACCTACTGAAATAGAAGGAATTTTGTGCTGAGTGAAATATCTACTCAAAATTTGGGCAGGAAGGTGGGGTTAACTTTTGAAAGAGTAAGAGTAACATTTCTAGAAGGTTATTCTAATAATAAGCTCTGCTACTTACCTCACCTGAGCAGTCAAGCGCTAGGTTCTTTTTCAGTGAAGGTGATTGTTTTGATGCAAGGAGAAGGCCCTTCGCTGAATGAGCAGCCTTTTTATTGAGTGTTGCTTCTGAAAAGTTTTTTCTGAATGTTCAAGTTCTCTATGAAGGACAGAATCCAATATTGTCTTGAATTCAATATTTAAAAAAAAAAAAAAAGCAGCTATCAGAAGACATGTTGCTAGGTCTGCACATGCTACAGTTTGTTTGATCTTGTATCTAAGAAATGCCATGATTTAGGCTAAAAATACACTAAAATTGTTTTATCCAGAATGACATTGAAATCCTTCTACGCTAAAAAGAAAATAACTCCTAGGAGCTAAAACTGGAAGTATACTGTTCCTTCAGTGCAGTTACGCTAAGTAGTTGAGAGGGAAAGACGAGGCATACAAGGTATGGTTATGCTCCCATGATTTCTAAGCCCTTCAGAGAGTGAAGATCAGATGCTGGTACCTTAAGATACTGGCATCCTTTCCATCAGGATGCACATGAATATGTGAATTACTATACTACAGCAATAGTGAGATGCCTATTTTGAAAAAGTTAAACAATAAGGTTTATGAGTATTGATGCCTAAAGCTACTTGGTTTCACAAAGCGTACGTGATTGGTGTTAAGTAATGGATTTTTCAGTTCCTATTACCTAAAGCTTACCCTAAGCCTAAATAAGCTTTCTTGTGTACCAGTAGCTCTTTCTTATTAGATGATACAACGTTGTAGGTAGACCCTGAATCCTGTTGCCTGTGGTGCTTCCCTGCTGTAGCTTGCTCTACGCTCGCATGCTCTCTCTGATACTTGCATTTAAGCCTCTGATCAGGAAAGCTGACTGCATTCTCTTCTGAGGCTTAGTAATCAGCTGGCCATTTCAGAATGTAATAGTTGAGACCTACTGCATGTCCAGGCTATCTGCTAGGCTGTGGGCTAGAATGTAAAAACATTGCCAAAAAACTTTGCATCAATAGCTTTTAATAATCTTGTATTAAATATACATGTAAATGTCTGTTCTTACTCTTAAAGGTTAGGAATAACTTAAGGCAAACACTTAATATTCTTGCCTGATGCTTAAGCTACCTGCAAACGATCTTATCTGATCTGAGAAGTGTACCTGTAAGAATGACTTGTTACTTTCTGTATTTTAATGCAGGCCAGCTTTTCTCTAACACAGAGCCCACTGGTTGGAACTATGCCATCAACTCCTGGAACAGGTAGATGTCCTGTCAAAATATATAATCTACTTACTGCTTTCCTTAATACATGAAAATCATCGCTGTTCAAGCTACATCAACTCCTTGCTAATTTGCGAAGGAGTTGCATCTTTATTTACTAGCTTTTCAAAAGGTATGTGGATGTGAATAGGAAATACTTTTCCACTCTGACACTGACTGAATTTCAATCAACTTTACTTATTCCATATTAAAAACTTGTTGTTGAATGGAGCACAGAGGTGGTTGTACTTGAGTGAAGCAGCTGAGATTGGTGGGTTGTCTTCCATCTTCATAAGGTTTCCTAGCTTGTGTATGAACCCGTGGCTTCTTGCTAAGCTTAATTCTGCTGTCCTGTTCCAATTTGGCTTCTGTATTAAGCTGCTGGTGTTTAGAGGTCAAGCAGAAAGCTAGGTTGCTAGTTGTAAAACTTACTAGCATGCTTGCAGACATGGAAGTTTGGGTTGACTTACTGTTTGTCTGTGTCTGCAAATAAATCTCCATCAGACTCTTGCACATACAAGTGAAATGCTTGATACTGAATTTATTCTTTTACTGTAGGCTTTTAAGCTTATCTGTCTTGCAAAAGTAATTTGCTGAACAATGCCATTTCAATTTAACAGCTTCAAGTATGTTCAGTCCTGCAAGTATTGGGCAGCCTAGGAAGACTACTTTATCTCCTGCTCAGCTAGATCCTTTTTATACTCAAGGTGATTCCCTAACTTCAGAGGATCAACTTGATGACACATGGGTAACTGTATTTGGGTAAGTCCAAAGTACTAGAAAAAACATGGGTGAAGTCTTTGCAACATATGGAAGGAAGTACTTGGATGTTTCTGTTGTCTGGCATTCCTAGGTTCTGCAGGAAATAAAACTGTGGTTAAAGCCAGCAAATGCGTATGTTTTAGTGAAGGACCTTAACTTAAGCTACATGTTAATTTTTTTCAAGTTATAAAGGCAGCATTCCACCATTGAGGTGTGTGGTGACGTAAAAATGCCTAGAAGATAATATTTCTCAAGTCATTGCTTTATAAAATGGCATTAACACACTGGTCTTTTCTGGATGCCTAGAAACGCTGCATAGGGTTTTATTTTAGCACCAGAATTCTTAAAAGTACTCTGTATAATTTTTTGAGTATTTTTTTTCTGTCTTTCAGATTTCCTCAAGCATCGGCTTCGTATATTCTTCTACAGTTTGCTCAGTATGGAAACATATTAAAGCATGTGGTATGTCTTACTTTGAGACTTATTTCTGAAAATGTTCTGGCTCATTCTTTACAAGGCTAAATTTCACAATTTTCACTTAATCTCATACAGATGTCCAACACAGGAAACTGGATGCATATTCGGTATCAGTCTAAGCTTCAAGCCCGGAAAGCCTTAAGCAAAGACGGAAGAATTTTTGGTGAATCCATCATGATTGGTGTCAAGCCATGTATAGATAAAGTAAGTTAGCAGCAGCTTTTATTTAAATATAAGGCACTCTGCTTTTGGGCTTTCTCTTCATTTTCCCTGACCTCTTAAATTTTTTTCTAACTGGTAGTTCAGTTATATAGGTATAGTCTATTATACCTTACATAAAATTTTCTTAAGTATCGGTTTTTTTCCTGCTGAGAATGATCATTGTGGGAAATCTCTGTGCTCCTTGGAACTTAGAATGCACAGAATTATACTGCTGTAAAAGGTACGAAGTGAAAACATAAGAGACAATTGAGATAAAAGAGTTTCCCAGACTGGAATTTGTGGCATTTAGGGGCTTCAATAGATACGTGATGGCACGTTAAGGCTGTTATTGCTCCTAATTGTCCCGCTTTTTTATGTGACTATCTGATTTTCAGTTTATTTTAGTACATTAGACTGAAAATAAGTTAGCAAACCAGTTCTGATCCTGTTCTCCCACCTGCCCCCACAAAAACATGTCCCTTTCTTGTAAGTAGTGGTTGGGATAGCCATGGCTGTATTTCAGTCTAATTTTCTCGGAGCTATTAGTTTCTAGGCATTGACAATGCCTTGACCATTAATTCTTGCAACACTTGGCATTGGGTGCTGTACATCAGTTTAGGCAAATGACAGGCATTCTTTTATAGTTCACAGATTTTTTTTTTTTTTTTGGTCTCCTCTAAGGATAAATGATTCTGAAGAGTAATGTAAGCTTTCAAATGTAAACCATTCTGAGAAGGCAGCCCTAGAAATTGAGGTTGCAATTACTTCAATTTTTGTCAGTTGGAAACATTTCTTTTACTGTTTAAAATTCAGAAACAAATGTACTTCAGTGCCCTTTTCCTCTGTAGACTTCTGACAGTGGGGCTTCCAGTGTCTTTTTACATTATTTACTATTCTGGTGCCCAGTTTGTATCAATGACTGAATTGCCTATAAGCTGAAACTCTAGCAGTAATGATCCAAAACACTTACTGGCATCTGATCTTTTTTTGCTTTGCAATTCTCATTATGTTATTTGTGGATAGTGTCCACTTTCAAGTATCAATAAATAAACCCATAATTGTTACTCTGTATTTTTAGAGGCAAGCGATATTTCTGGAGACTAATCCGTTGAGGGTTTGGCACTAGCCTGTAAAACTTCATTGCAATTGAAAACTAGATGTGATGGATTTGACATGAGTGCTTAGGCTTCAGATTTAAAAGTAGCGGTTAGTTCCATGGGTTCCCCTCGTGCTGAGCAGAGCCATCTGCCAGCCACACTGGACAGCAATCTTATCCTGTATTTTGGATAGCTGTCTCGTGCCAGGTGTGCTTCTGTATTTCTGCTGTCTTTAGGCTGGTTGAATGCTGTGCTCCACTGAGTCCAAATGCAGCAAAACAGGTCTCCCCAGGGTGGTTGGCATGGCCCATCTTGTTTTCTCAGGGTTCTTGTTGAACTCGTGGTTCCTATCAAGTCACTTGCTGCCTCTTCCATTCTGCATGCATTCCTTTCTAAACATACGCTTACAAAATGGAGCCTTCTGACTCCTTTTCTAGCATTTGCTAAGGGGACTGAGTGAAACCCCTTGGCAAGTTGGATTTGAGCAGAAAGTTGCAAGCTGGTAAAGGCTTGGAGACTGTCCTGTATGGATCAGGTAAAATAGTTTGAAAGTATTTAGAAAGAAGATGTTATGCTACTTAGTTCAACTGGTCCTCAAAAAAAGTTACTACTTGAAGTTTGTTGCAAGTCTTACAGTTTATTTTCTCTGTACTGTTTCAAACTTGTCTGACACTTAGTACATACAGTGCACAGATTAGAAGCTTCTGCCACTTTGCAATGGCATAATCCAACATATAAATGATTGCAGTGAGGAAAATGCTTGGGGGTGGTGTGTGCTTGTGTGCTGTGCACTGACAGGCAATTTACCTGTGGTCTTTGCTTACTTTGAGATGTGAAAATATTTTATCAAACAATTCTAGATAATGGATAGTTCTAGACAATAAAGGTTGAAATACTGCTTTTTAGTATTTGTTTACATTATATTAACCCTCTTTTTAAGAGTGTGATGGAAAACTTTGAAAGAAGTTCTACACCCTCAATATCTTCAGTTTTCACTCCACCTACAAAATCTGTTGGCTCACCAGTACAAGCTGCAAATAATACTACAAGGATTTCTACAATGAGACCTCTTGCGACGGCATATAAAGCTTCCACTAGTGACTATCAGGTATTTTGAGGGAAACAGAAGCATGTCTGTCTTTGTACTATCTTCCCTTAGTTTTATGAGGCTGTACACACATTAACTTCAGTATGACCTCAGCCTTTATCTTCTCCTGTCATTTCTTCCAAGATGTGATTCAAGTACAAACTCAGTCTGTTCAGTCTCTAAAATTATAATAATAAAATTAAGTGAATGACTTGTCACTTTTCCAGAGGTTAAGGGCTTGTTATGAAAAATCTTTCAAACCTATTTTGTCAAAATATAGTAGCACTTCAGAAAAGAAAACCTGGCGAATTAACTGTATATTGACTGATTCTCCTTATTTTCTCTCTTCCTCTCTCCCCTTCCCTTCTAGGTTGTTTCTGACAGACAAACTCCTAGGAAAGATGAAAGTATTGTATCTAAAGCAATGGAATATGTATTTGGCTGGTAATACACGAGAGGAAGTAACACACTAAGTTGGTCAGGGTCTGAAACACGCTTCTGGCATCTGTGGTTAGTTGTATAACTACTGGTGGCAGTATTTTAACTTACATCTCACCTGTTAGGCCTTCAGTTAATTCAGCAGACATGTAGCTTGCACTTTAATGATGACAATGTACACACGTTTTAAAAACTGAGTAAGTGTAAATGTAAGTGCTTTTTTGCCCATTTGTGCTCTGATTGCATGATTGTAGAAAAAATATCAGCACTGACTTCCTCTGTAATTACTTTCAGTGAATTACTTCCTAGTAAGTTGGACATGTTTAAAATGTCAGCTTTATTTACTGATGCCTTTAATTTTATTGCGGGTTTTTTCTGGAAAGATGATGGGCTACTTGAGGAAGAACACTATGCACAGCTGGCTCCTAGGGACAGGAACTGTTCTTAGTATGTGTGATTTTAATTTTTTTATTAGGATTCATTGCTGTTTTGTAATTATCCCTGGCATCATGTTCTAAATATCATAGCAACCTTTTAACTCTTTGTTTTATTACCAAAGCTAAATAAAGTTAAGATTTTCTTAGGTTGTTTTAAACAAGTATGAGTTCTGTTAGGAAAAACTATTTGCGATTCTCTTAACTCTTAAGTATAATGCTGCCTAATGTTTATTAGTGTCACCAGCAGAGCAGGTGCCGCTGATTTTTACTCAAGTAGTACCAACCAGCATTAAAACTAGCTAATGCTTAAATGTCATCTCCGTGGGTATTTTATAGCAGTGTGCACTTAATAGGTAACAAACTGTACTGTTCCAAGCTATAACATGTTGAGTTGAAATAGCTGAATAGAAAAATGGAATGTGTCAGTGAACAGAGCTGCTTTCATTTCAAGACTCTTCTAAGAAATTTTCTTGAAAGTATTGGCTGAATTATGATTTTTTGGTGTTTTGGTTTTTCTTAACTGAACTTCCCCCCGACTTGAAGTTTTCTTTTGGAGGTGAGCCTCTCAAGTAATCATGTGTGTCATGTGAGCTCATAGTCTTCAAGAGAAAGGTCTCTATCATCTGGGAAGAGAGCAATTTTTTCTCCAATACTTGGAAAACTATGTGCATCTATTACTTTTTTGATTTTGTGGCTGTGTTAGTGTGGCTCAATTTCAGCATTTCAGTTTGGGTCAATAGTGTGTTGGTCAGGTGAATATCCAGTCACACCTGTTTCCATGCTTTGCTTCACAGTGCAGTATGGTCTCAAAGTTCTGCAACTGTACTTCTCTGATGAAATTAGATTGAAAGACTAGTCCAGCAGCATGCCTAGTGTCCCTCAGATGCTAATGGGCATCCGGTTGACAGGATCAAGCTAGAGATAGTCCTGAGTAAAATCCCCAAAGCACTTAGTTGAGAAGTCAGGTTTCTGCCTCAGGGCACTTTGTGCTTCATTGTGTGCTTTGGAAGTAACCTACGTGCAGGCAGATTCAGAGATTTTTGAGCTGCATTTTACTGTATTTGGTGACTGATGCTTTCGGAATATTGGCTGCTACTCATCCACGTTTGCTTTTGATCAAAGGGAGCTGCTCACACGTAATCAATATCTGAACGTGTTTTCTCACAATATATCTGGCTTTTTCGTAGTGAAAACTATTTGTCATGCAGGTGTCTTCAGAAAGAAAATAGGTAGTTCAGCTAAATTCTGGCGTTGCTAGTTTTGCAAAATACACTTCTGGTAGACTTCAGACTTGTAATGATGTGTACAGGATTTAGTTTAGTGAACTGATGAAGAGTAAGACTGAACTTAGATCAAGTAAGTCTGAAGCTTAATATACAAGGAAGGAGTTGAAGACAAAGTCAGTAGTTTGACTGACCTGTTTTACCAATAAGTACCAGATTGAAAACTGTGCTAAGCTGTTTGGTTTTGTTGTTTGTTTTTCCCCAGTTGTTTACCTTTGTTTCTTGTTTCTTATAGCTTTAGGAATGATTTTTCTAATGGCTCATGGCAGCTTCCTGTAGAGTAAAAGCACTTGAGAGTACTGGATGTTGTTTAGTTTGCTCTGGAGGTAGTAAATAGGAGAAGAAACTTTAGAACATACAGATCTGTGTATTTATGGACAGTATCATTAAGAAAATATCTACATGTGGATTCTGCTGGTAAAGACTGCTGGTAAGACTTAGTATGTTGTCTTAATGTTGAGCACCAGTTAAACCCTGGTATCAATGATTTGAGCTTATGAAGTATGAGAACATTACAGTCCCACCCTGCACAAGCCACTGCACAGCTTTGTTGCAATGTGTTCCTGATAGTATTGTTATTAATTATATGAGTATACAGCTGCCATGTGTGAAAGGGCAGAGAATATGGAGAAGTACCTGTGTGAAGAATCTCTGAAACACTTGGAAGATATTCAAGTAAACCTTTTCAAGGCTAGCTACCATTGTTAGGTGGCATTGCATGTAAAAATCCAGTTCTTCCCATTTGTTAACTATGTACCTGCTGCTTTGCAATAAGGAAGGATTATCTTCTAGCTGTAGCTAGATGTGATTTACGTTAAAAACAAAATTATGGACTTCAGCTAATGATGTGTAACATACTCATGAAACTCAGTTCTGGTTTCAGTTGTATGGGGTTTCTTCTAAGGCTGCAGACTACATTTTTCATAGGGTTATGGCTTTAGTTTAAAATAAAACTCATGAATACTTATTTTCTGTTGTCTGCCTCCATCACAAACGTGTTACTCGGGGATCTGACTCACTTCTCTTAGTATATAGATCTGCACAGTTTTAAATTCTAGAAGGATTTGTTGTATTGTTTCAATGGTAATTTCACTACAATTTTAACAGATTTTTTTTGTGTGTGTGAAGACTTATAATTTGGAGATAGTGCTTATTTTTGTCCTCTCCTTTTTCCCTCCCACCCCCCCTCAATTTAGCTTTCTAGTAATTTTCGAAGTTAGTGATATTTATTTGGGTAATACATACACATGAACATGAAATGAAAATCAAACGTTAGAGTACATCATGTCTGCCTCTCATTTCAAGTTGTAGGCATCTACCTCCACTGTGTGGCAGCTTTTCAGAACTTCAGTGAGGTTTAACTGATACTGAATATGGTATCTTAATTATATTTCAGTAAGGAAATGCATAAACAGTACTGTGAGAAAATAGCAGTGCTCAAAGTCTCTTAGTTGAAGTGTTTTCGTAATAAAAGAAGAAAGGACAAAGATGAGTTTACTAAATATCTTAATTAGGGAGTAATTCAGATTTCTAATTGCTGCAACGAAATGGTTCTTAAACTTTATTTAAAATCTTACCAGTAGTCACTCATCTCCATTTTGAGAAGGATAAACTGATCAAATGATACTTTATCAGAATATACCACACTATCCATTTTGTATGAACATAATTGCCTTTTTTCTGATAGTCTGAGTACACGTGTAAAAATACAAGATTTGCATCAGTACTCTTTAATTTGACTCTAGGTGACTGGACCACAGATGGGTCTGCAAAATATGCTTAGAAATAGTAAGCTCTTCAGTTAAGTGAGTGAAAACAAAATAAACTGGCTTACAAACAACTTGGAATCAGTAGTTGGTTTACTGGATTTCAGACTGCAGGTGAGAAGGCTCTGGAATAAACATTCTAGATCTCTAGTAAAAACATCAGTCCTTGGGCAACTTCGTGGCTTTGTGGTAATGCCTTTTTTAATCGTTTGGATGAGAGTAGGTGTTCTTTTGATGTGGTGTGTCTCTTAATAAAAGTATCAAAGTGCAAACAGTACTGACTGTCAAACTTCTGTTAGTGTTTATAAATTTAGAGTTCCTTTGGTGAAGTTACCTTTAAAAATGAATGCATAATTAATCACTTGGTAAAATGTTTTTGGCTTTCTGTTAAGGAATCCTTTGACTCAAGTACATTTTTGTGCAATGCATATAAACTGTGCTTCTATCAACAAAATAGTATTTTCCACTTTTCTGCAAGTAAAACTCATGTTGAAATCAAGAGCATGTCTGAGAAGCTGTAAATTCTTACGTCCTATATGTTGTCATCTAATATCTTGATTCTTCTTCAAGTTCTTCAGTTTTGTAAGTGAACTGTCAGTTTAGAGTTTATTGCTGATGTAAGCAGATGCAGTTAAAGTGATCCCAAAATTCTGGTCTCTGTAGGTGACGTGCTGTTTCTTGTTCATTACAGTCCTTTTGTGCGTGAAGTTGGAGACTCTCTTCTGATCAGAAACAGGCTGAAATTAAGGAACTGCTCTGAACAGTCATTGTTTTATTTTGCTCAATTGTTTATTGCATTGGATTTTGGTATAGATTACTGCAGAAATCGGTTTATGAATATATATTTCATTGTAGGGATGAAAGGATTTTTCAGTATGAAAAATAGAGAACTTTGCAATGGTATTTTTCCTTTCTATTGTGTATGTCAGCCACTTAATTAGCATCATGTTTAGCTGCCTTTGGAGCCCTGTTTGTTCTGTGAGAATCTGTCCCTTGGTGCAGAATTAAGTTCCAAAAAATGCTTTCTCTTTCAAGGATCTTTCCAACCCCCTGATGTTAAAAAGGTAATCTTGGATGCATGAAGCAAGGATACCCTGACAAATGGATGTCTGGAGATGCTGGAAATTATATTCTGTATTCTGGATTATCCAGTTGTTTTATTAATAGACTGTTTGTTTCGAAACCTGAAGATAGTCCAAAATTGGTTATTAGATAAAGTGCTGTAGCTGAATATTTTAGTTGGAGCCCAGACTGGGAGAGATTTTTGAGGGCTAGCATGCTAACTGGTGGTTGTGCTTTTGCCAAAACTCCTGTTTCCTCCTGGCAACTGAGCGTATAGCTGGCTTGAAAGAACCATGGTTGCAACACTGGCTGTCATGACATAACGCACTGTAAACTGAATTTATTAAGTTGTTTATTTCTTTTAATATATTAATAACATACATTTTTAATTCAACTAATGTCAGTTTCCAGTCTCCTGCTCAGAAATGCTCAGCAATCTAGACTGCAACAGAAGTCAGACCTTGCTTCCATAAAGTCATAAAACTGTAATGAAACTTCCTCTTTATTAAAAAAAAAGTCTTTGCTGCAAAGTAGCCAACTTGTCTTGTACAACATGCTTTCTCAGCTGGCAAGTACCTTGACTTACTGGGCTTTCTTCCTGAGTGCTCTTAGCTCTCTTTTTAAAGTTTGTAAATTTGGTTTGTTTACTGTGTAGGATTGCACCGGTGGATAAGATCATGCTGCTGACTTAAGTG